ATATTGCAGTTTTTTCTATTTTACAATAGTATAAAAGCTTTGTAAAAGGCGGATATACCAAGCTGAAAAAATCCTTATGTATCAAAATCGCGGAGGCTTAGATAGCTATGACATAGTTTATGCACGAGTTAGCCCCTCTTTGTACCTCTTCCTCACAATCCCGTTCAAAGAAGGAACTCCGTCTAAATTACATATATTTGATTTAGCTAAACATGGACAAGCTATACATCCATCGTAAATTTTTAAACCGACGAGAAGAAGTAAATCTTTTAGGAGCGATGCATTCACTAATATTTTTGATGGCGATTGTTGGATGCGCCATAGCAGCGGTACATATAATGAAAGTGAAAAGATTTACACCACCAATGGTGAAAATGATACGAAGTGGAATTTGGGATCAATTTGTGGAGAGACTTAAGGAGAAACGACTGCAACGTATGCTCAATAATGCTGCCGATATTCATATACACGATGTAAGGGGTCTAAGAGAGTTGCTCTTTAAATTGCAAACAATGGTGAAGTGATTAACTCTTTAGATAAACGGATATTATGATATTGAATACGTCGCTGAAATCACCATTGGCACCCCTCAACAGACATTTCTGGTTTGTTAGAGCTCGAGTTCCATGTCTAAGTGAGCGGCGCATGATCATATTTTACTCAGGTAGTTTTGGACACAGGATCCGCCAATCTTTGGGTTCCTGATAATTCCTGCTATCATGCACCAGCGAAACCTCCTCAATGCAATAGCCCACTATGTGATTATGGAGGTTAGTTTATCCATCTTTTTGATAAAGTTCAAATTGACTGTTTGAGATAAGGAAAGTTTAATCAGATTATATTGTGCGAATTTCGATGTAGCATCTAAGTTCTTATTATTTCTGTACCCCAAAATGTATAGGTATCCTTGTTTGTACAGCTATGGAGGATTAAACTACAGTTTCGACAAAATCAAGAAGTTCGCCTGAAGAGAACATTGATAAGCTTTTCCCAAATCTTATTACTCTATCCGTAAATATTGACTTAATGGAAGCGTCATATTCATGTCTTTTATGCGAAATTCCAATTGTTACCTAGATATATGAGAGTCCAGCTGCGTACACTATGGAAAGCGAATTAAAAAGGGTAGTAATATTTCCTCTTACGTGTCTATTTTCATAATGCTAAATTGCTGTCACCCTTGTAAGAAATAGCTAGACTGTGATTGTTCTCTATCCATTCGCAAAAATAATTAATGTAGTTGTTCTCTATCCACTCGTAAAAATAAGAGGTGCTTTCTGCTTCTGTTGCCTACTGGTTTCCTTTGATTATAAGCTACATTATATAAGCTATCACTATCTTTCCATCAAAACCTGCACCAGCTTGATCACTTAAAAATAATAAAGACAAAGAATTAAGCAGCAGAGATATATAGAGAACTTTTTGCAAGTGAATCAAAAGCATTTAACAGCTGTATTCAAAGAATTCTTACAGATCTTTACCTTCGCGCGTAGTTGAGTGACGGATTCAGAGTAGTGAAAGTAATGTATTGGAAAAAAAGGTAAATTAGGAAAAGAACCGGACAAGAAACTTTTTGGCACAGACATTAGTTAAATTGATCTCTTGAAATTGTGGAGTTCCCATAGATAATGTCTTTGTGAAGGTAATATTTCGTACAGATGTGCACACTCATTCCTTGAGGGGTCTTTCCGCTCTTTTGAAGCTTCCCACCAAAAATAAGAACTTATGGTTCTGATGAAAGTACTTGCAGCTCAAAAAATAATGATGACTTGTCCTGGCCGTCCTCAATTATTTAGTGTTAAGAAACAGCTTTACGGAAATTTGGTCAATTCT